CGTAACCACGTGAGCTCTTCAAAAGGGAAATTTGTGTAATATTTCTTGTTGGTTTCATTTGGGAGTTATATAGATCTGGTTGTTCCCTCTTTTTTTTCTTTTTAATGCTGCTGATAATGTTATTAATGACTAAAACTCCCCAATGTGCCAACAGAACTGTTTTTATCTCGTTACAATGCCGGTATTTCAACACATCTTTATGGATTGTGTTTTATATGAAACTATTTTTTCTGTCCACGTGTTCTTCTTTGTCTTTGTATTTGAAAGTTACCGAATTATGAAGGCATTTTCCCTTATTCGGACTACTGTCTCTTCTCCTAATCATTTTTTCCATTGCAATAGAATGGACGAAGTCGGTAGATTTTCATTCTTTACTAACTTACTCAGAAAAAAAAATGCGGGACCTGTCCAGCACACCGTCTGTCCCGAACGATCGTTTTCTTTTAAAGTGTTTTTTTCTTTTTTTCATTAGCAATGTTTATTGCCGTCATTACCTTCTGAAACATCTTTCGACTTTCTTTGAAAGTTCCTTTCGTTAGTATTTTGTATACATTATTTTCTCAGTGTCATAACATAATGCTTTATCTTTATATCAAACCATAGCTTACATAACGCTATAACATTTAATAAGATGATGCCACTCTTGCTACGTCACCTCTGACCCTCAGCGCAATGGAAAGTGATCAACATGACCAGGCTAATGTCACATCAGCTGATAATACAACAGTTGTGTCACCTTTGATCTTTGCGAAAAGGACACGGCAAGAAAACGATTGGTAGGGTAACAAAAGGAAGAGGTTGAAAGAACTGGGGATGCTTCTACACATGCCAAGGCACGAAGCGAGCAGGGTGTGAACTTGACGTCCTTTTCTGTAGTAAACTGGTTGGTACAAAATGCAACGACATCACAGGTCACTCTCTTGGAAAGAAAACATAGACTACGTATATGCCATGATACACAGGATAGACAAAAAGAGATCTTACACAGCAAGTGAAATCCCAAAGAGAAATTACACAATTCAATATCGTTTAAAAGAGTCAATGGTCAAAGAACACCTGTTTGTAAAACAATCTTCATGAACACCACAGGCCTGACCCACATGTTTATTTAAAGTGTCTTATCCGAAAAAAACAAAAAAACAAGAGGTCCCCTCCCCCCCTTGAACACATTACGCCCACCATGAGAGAGCCAAGGATGACAAGTCGTTCCATAAAGTGGCATTTTTTGACAAACTTTCGAAGATATCCTCCTGTCTTCAGATGACTATCCAGGAAACGTCAGATTTGCATCAAGTATACATGGAGAACTTTGCAGAGAGGGTGAAAGCCACATTGAGCTATCAAGTGTTCTGCCAAAAGTTTAAGAAAGATAATTTGGGTTCACTTTCAACCAAAAAAGACCAGTGCAACCTTTGCACCAGCTTCGAATTAGGAAACCTCACAGAAACAGAATACACAGCTCATCAAATATGAATATGAAGAAAGCTGCAGCTAGACAAGAGAAGGAGAAGGACAGGGAGGTGGCACTGGACCCAGAGAACAAAATGTTTGTCCTTTGTATGGCGATCCAGTGCGTCCTTCTGGCCTCATCACTAAAGACATCCACCTTATATTATAAGACAAAACTGGCTGTACACAATTTTACAATTTAGGATCTTGCCACCAGAGACGCCAGATGATGTGCCTGGGATCAAAGTGAAGTTGGTCTGAGCTTCAACAGTTTTCATTATGTCTGACTCACTAACTGGTATTGCAAGTGACTGACTTCAACCACTTTATCATCTGCAGTGATTGGTGCAACTACTAAAACAGAACTGCCACCCTGGTGAGTACAATGGCCTCGCTGGCCAAAGAGCTTAACATCCCAGTTGAGCAGAAATTCTCACCAAGGGCCATACCCAAATGGAGGTGGATTCAGTCCATGTCACTATTAAGCGATGGCTAAAAAACGCACTGATGTACATCCCAAAGGACTACGTGAACATCATGCTCCAAGCCAGACGCATGTCCAGGCCCTATGAAGCTATGTACCTTGGCAACAGCTTTTTCAAAGATTTTGCAAAGGTCGGAGAGCACTAAACAATCCGTCCAGGGATAAAAGCAGGCGATTCTACTGTCACTGACTTGCAGGCATCAAAGTACACTCCAGTCTTTAAAATTCAATACAAGCTGAACTTTGATGATGGATGGCAGGCGCTGAAAGGATCAAGAAAGCTGAACACCCAATGTACGACGGTTACTGCTGGACCTCTCTGAAAGACAGATTGAAGATAACTGCCAACGAGTTTAAACATCTACTGGAGTTGAAGGCGGTCGTACCACGATGCTACCATAATTACCATGAAACTTTGCCTCAGTAAGACGTTTTGAAAGCGATCAAGTCAAAGTCGATTATTGTAGTCTTTCAAAACAATGGTAACTTTTGTCGTATCGCCTTGTTATAGCCACAGGACACAGAGTGAGACAGACATGCTCTTCTATTGTTGAGAAAACTCAATAATGTAGTAGTTGTCAAGCCACGCACCTTGGAGAAAGTTGGCGTATTCTTTGATACTTACAAAGTCTTTTAGTATAATAATAATATATTATTATGAAGCCAACTTCACTCAAACCATTACTGAGGTAGCAGAGCTTCTCTGTGGCTTTCTGCTTTCATTTCTTTCTTAGTATTACTTTTTCCAGGCCTTTGAAAGGCCACCCAGTGCCAATAGTACTGTGTCAGACACTGTCATACATCCTAAAGGCCTGCTGATGCCACTGCTACTACTGCTGTTTTTGTTTTTGTTGTTGTGGTTGTTGTGGTTGTTGTTGCTGTAGCTGCTCTCCCTTACCATTCGAACCTCCTGTTCTTCTACTTCAAATATGATTAATATACCCATTGCTGTGTTCTGCTTCTTCTACTTCTATTAAATGTTCCAATTTGTGACTGTTGTTTTTGCCAGAATTGACTCCGTAACACTGAAATGGCAGCAGCTGATAGTATGTCGGTAGCAGTAATATCGTCCTCCTCTTCCTTCTTCCTCCTCCTCCTCCTTTTTTCTCCTCACCATCTTCCTCCTCACCCTCATCCTCCTCCTCCTCCTCCTCCTCCTCCTCCTCCTCCTCATCCTCCTCCTCCTCCTCCTCCTCCTCCTCCTCCTCCTCCTCCTCCTCCTCCTCAACCTTCTTCTTCTTCTTCTTTTTCTTCTCCTCCTCCTCCTCCTCCTCCTCCTCCTCCTCCTCCTCCCCCCCTCCCCCCTCCTCCTCCTCCTCTTCTTCTTCTTCTTCTTCTTCTTCAAAAGATCACGATGATTGAAGAACTGATCAAATACGTTACAGTCAAGTGTGGCTTGGCTGCACTCAACCAAACTCGAGGCCAGCAGTGGCTTCCTGATAAAACCGGCCAACCCACAAAATTGAGGGTTGGTTGGTTTTATCAGGGAAAATTTGAGCGACATAACCGTCTAACCCACGCAGTTTCATTAAAAGCGATTTTTTAAGGAAAAAAAGGTCTACAGTGTTTCGGTAAAGTGTTTTAATAGGTGTTTGAAGCACTGGTTTATCGTTAAACACCTTTGTTTTGAAATAAAACAGTTTTTTCCTTCTCCTGTAAAATTTACCTCGCTGGGGTTAGCCGGTTTTATCACAAGGCCGACGATAATTTAACCGTCTAAAACGGCTGATACATTTCGTTTTATTGTCACCCTTGTGCAAAATCAGCAACAAAATAAAAATGACAAACAAAATACAAACCAACAACAACAAAAACAACAACAATGCGGTTTTCGATTGGGACCTCAGATGGGAATGGGTTTTTTTCTTCGTCTTGGTTAGTCCTGCCTAAGACGGCCACCTGTCTTATACGACCACTTTTCTCCTTGACAATGGGTGGCTGCCTTATACAGGTATGACTGTATATATACATATCTGGGACAGCTGCTCGAAAAAGAAATTATAAATAGAACTAAGAATAAATTAAGCATTGATCCCTTTTTAAGGTTCGGGAAATTTGGGTTACACAATGGCAAACATACAGTGAATACATAATTAATTATATGTATGTACAAATGCCCACTTACTTAAAAACATACTCATGAATACACAATATTACTCCAATAAAGAACAATTTCACAAACATGCCATTGCTGGTCACCACTGTGCAGCGCCCTGGGTTTTTTTAGCCAGGATTATCATGTCTTTCTAAAGGACACATACCCCAGTGACCACCCACCTCAACCTCGTGTCAACAACTCTTGCTTGACATTGCTTTTGGGTCTGAACTCTCTACTCACTTATTAACCAATGGAGGCCCCATGTAAAATTGGAGAATATGAAGATCTTGAATAATAAGCACTTCAGCGAAACTGCAGAAGCTTCACCAGGAGCAAGCCGTTGCTGACAAAGAAAGTCTAACAGGCCAACTTGTAGCATGCCAGTTACCCCCTGGCAGCACAACATGCTCCAGGTGCAATTGCTCAAGAAAGAATGAAATGAAAAGAAAAAGAAAACCTCTTTGAACTTGCCCTTGAAAAGGAGATTCAGGGCACTTGTGCAAGATTTGACTTTTTTAAAAATTTTACCCCCCCCCCCCCCCCCCCCCCCCGCCCCTTTCTATTTGCTGTAAATAACCAGTATCATCAATATCAAGTCAAAATATTCACTTTCATAACTTAGCCTAAAAACTGATTGCATCATAAGGTACATTATTACACACAGAGGGAGGGAAGAGACAAATAGGCCCACAGGTAAGTTGTGCAAGGGGGCTAAGAGTCTAGAGTTAAGCATCACAGTCAGAAAAAAATGTTCAGCTGTGGAAAAGAAATTTATTAACTTTTTCTTGCAAATCAATTTTGAGTTCTTTCTATACTGGTCAAAGTTCTAAAGATGGCAGGTTTGTTGGGCTTGTTTTACCCTTTTTTGAATTCTGAGAAAGTTTTTAAAAAATTAATGCAAGTTGGGATCAAAGCCACTGACGTGATGTAATCTATAATTACTTAACTGATTATGATTAGATTTTTTGCATACCAAACAACATTCAGTGTACAATGATTTATATTTTATTTTTCACCTCTGCAGTTGGATGTCTCGTATTGCTCGACTCCTTGTAATATCAAATATCCTTCGAACGCAGAGTTCAGGATTCTGGTCAATGGGAGAGATGGCGTCAAAAACAGCAATGGTTTCGAAAGATGATGCTTTACCTGGTACTTTTCTCTTTTTTATGATTTTATGTGTCTGATGAAAGTCTGTGTTGAGCAAAAAAACATCTGTTGAATGTAAATTCATGTAGTCAAGACAGACAGCTTTTGACATATAAAAACTAATGAAGAAGTGTGAAATGTGCATAGTGTAGGTACCTTTTACATATAGATAGGTTTATTGTAAAAGGGCCGGATGGTGAACAATTATGTTCCCCTCATTGAAGACAGTATCCACTTGAAATGTTCTCCTAGACAAACCCCTTTTCTCACTTGGGCACAAGTATCTTTTCTACATTGCATGCTGTTTCAGCTTGCATAAAAGGTTACTCGGGGGCTCTCGTGGCCTAGAGGTTAAGGTGTTCACCTCTCATTCAAAGGTCCCGGGTTCGAATCCGGGGTAGCAACCGAAAAATGTTCTTCTCTACAATTGTCTCCTTTCACCTCCTTTCCTGTTCTCTAGCACCCCATGTTTTGTCGTCTGCTTTCGTCTCCTCTTTCTTCCCCCACCCACCTCCTTTGCTCCCTCCTCTGGGCTGCTGACTGCTGACTCTTTCTGCAGCCTTTCTACTGCTACTCCTTGGCTCCTTCTTACTGCTGATTTCTGCCTCACCTCTGATCTTCTGGTAGGAAAAATCTACACATAGCCTTCTCGGACAGGGGCGAAAAATCTCAGAGGACCTGTGTCCAAGTTGTGCACGTTAAAGATCCCATGGTGGTCTTAAAACAAGAGTAGGCTTCGGCCGCCACCCGAGCAAAATTCAAAATTACTTACCAAATGAAAATATTAGGTGTGTCCCGCGCACTCATATGACCTTATGCAGTTGCGAGTGCCGTATAACACTTACCGAAGAAAAAAAAGGTTACTCCAAGAAAATATGTCTCGCTCAGAGTATGGCACTTAAGAGGAACAAAAACTATCTGCCTAGTAATACTAGTATTAGTGTATATACTTTTAATTCTTTATGCATCTAGTAGGACAATTTTTTACAGTGCCCTGGTTGGTATGGTGTATGCTTCTTCTGGATAAGTCTTACTTGTTGTAATATTATCCCATCGTGTTTATGGTCTATCCATCATTGTGTTGACACCAGTAGACTACAGCTTATTGAAGACAACAGCCACTTCTGCTTCTTTTTCTTCGATCTTCTGCCGTGTTTCTGGTGAAATGTTCTTTAAGTTTTTCTACTCAGAGAGCGACTATTTCTTATGCTATGACATATTTTCATCATTGTATATAAAAATGCTTGCTTTTCAAAAGCAGCCGTTGAGCAGAGGTATATATACTCATTTTTCTTGTGTCTCTTCATAACTGGGATTTATCTAGACTTTAGCCAATGAAGTGAGCTCAAGTGTTCACCTGAGTGTGGTACCTTTTCCCTTCTTTGCACTGTTTGGAAGCCTTGGTATATGTTGTCAGTGTTGTAAATCTAGCAGTCAACTCGAGGTCCTCAGGTGCATAGGTTCTTTAACCTTATTCGTACGTCATGTTTTACTACCGTATCCATATGACGTGGGGAACTTTGTGCCACCACTTTCCAAAGAGGAAATTTGCTCGTTTTAATCCAATCCGTACACTTTGCATAGCAATCTGTCAAAATGATTTTTTGAGAAATACTGAAAGTTTCAAAAAGATCTTCGCTCTAGAAGTATTCTAAAATGTGAAGAATGCAACCCTGGGGGTACAAAATATCCCCAGGGCGTACGGATAGGGTTAAGCTGAGGAGGCCAGTGCTCCTGGGGTTATAATGGTAATATTTTTTTAGCTCTCAGTTATCAAGATGTCTGTAAGATGCTGGAAAGACTCACAGGTTTTCTTCTCCGCTGGGATTTTGTAAGAATACTCTGAAGTATACTCAGTTAAACAGACTGTATAGACTGGTAATTTTTATAGAATAACTCCAAGACCTCTCACTGTAGATTTGTATACAACTGTGAATATCTATTTTGCAAACAATGCCCTTTTTGTAGCTTTTAAGAAGGCAAGGCTGTGTGATCTGAATCTGCCGTTTTGAAAGCTTTCTACAAGAATGACTGATAACAAACAGTCACTTGCTGCTCACTTGTACAACAGCTAGGTTTTAATATCTATTAATTTGATGGACCTAGAATTGTACAATAGCATAGGGCTGTCATCCTAGCCTTTGCCCAGACTACTCCTGTTGATAATTGTCACTTTTACTTTAAAAGCATAAACTTAAACATGGTCTTGCTCATTTCATCTCATTACAGAATCTTGGTCATCCGCTACCATTAACACATTATCAAATACTCTTTTCAAATGTGGTCAGAACAATATTAAGATTATTTCACTTTCACCCATGGCAATTTAATCTGAAAATAAAAAAGTCTTCCTTCTATGCCATGAAAGCGGCTATTGTGGTACTATCGCCACCTCAGGATATTGCAGTCAATGGTGCAGCCACTGAATGGACTCTTTCTGATAGCTGACTATGTTACTTTTGGCATTCTTATCTAAAAAAGACTGGTAGCTCGACTATCTTACCCTGGAATCAGGAATGCAGAACACCTGAGAAAAAAGTATGCAGCTGTCCCCCAACCAGGCCGTAAGGTGTGGTCTGGGAATTAAGCCAGGTGCGTTGAGCTCAAATCATTATGTGTACTTTTGTGAGAACCGTGTCACTTGGTTTATCTGCTATAATTCAAGTGCTACAATAAGAAAAGTTCAATTTTCGTGATGTTCCTGACAACTACGATATGTGAGGCATCGTAGTGAAATCAGACGCTTGTCTAAATAAGGAAATGGAAGGAAACCATATTTTTCTTCCTGTGTGGCAATTTTTATCTAATTTTTATTTTTTGGCCCAACACCTTTTATATCCATTCAAAAACACTTTCTTGAAAAATGTTGAACTAAGAAACAAAAAATGTAAATTTACAGTTTCTAAGGACTCTCAATCTTTGGAAGTCACCAAATTTTGGCGGTCATTTCTCTTTAATTTTACCTCTGAAATCAGGTGACCTCCACCTCCTCCAAACGCAACTATCTCGACTTCTGTTGAAGATTGAGATAGATAATTTTTGTCATTGAAAGCAAGACAATTGCACTAGCTTTAAGATGATACCAATAACTCCATATGCCCAAAAATTGACGAGCGCATGATTCTACTGTATCATGACACATATTTACTTTTTGACCTCCACAAATAAAATCAGTTCCAAACTGTGCTATTTATATTTAATTTTTACAGTCAAAGTTGTCAACGACTGACACCCATCGTTGAGGGAAGAAGAGGTTTTGTTCGTCAGATGGATGTCTTAGACAGTGTCGTTATAATTTTTTGAAAACATAAATAATGGGGGGGGGGGGGGGGGGGAGTTGAAAGTGGTCATATGCACATGTGATTGTCTGTCTTAGACAGGTGGTCATTATAGCAAGTTTGACTGTGCTGGAAAAACTTCAGAACAAAAGCTTGTTCTTACTCCCTTCTCTCTATTGGTTTGCACACTTTACATACCTGGTCACCATGGTAACTTGATGTATGCAAGGCTTGCTTACTTGCCTTTGACTTTTAGTGAGTGGTGCGAAACGCTACCTACTACCTGGGATGATGTCACCTCCAATATGCTATACATTTTTCCCAGCCTTATCTTGTCTTTGCATTCTCTTATTTAAGATGGGTTTGTTTGTTTTATAATTTTATTCCCTCCTCATTTGACATTAGGTGAAGGAGGAGTTTCTAAATGTGTCCTCGGCCAGCAGCCAAATCCTGCCGTGCTCCTTATTCTTTTTACCTGCAATTCCAGTTTTAACTCTTTCCACTTATTTCGTTACTTTTCCCAAAGTCAGCGAAGCCAGTCTCTTTTATCTTTTTTTTTTTGGTTTGTTTTTTGGGGAGGGGTTTTTGTTTTTAGACACAACCAGTGGGTAAGAAGCCATGTAGGCATTGATGACAACGAAGCCGTTGACCACTTTGCCAAAGAATCTCTAAAACTACCTCAAAACAAAAATTGTAAAATCCGTTTCTCTGACATGAAACCGAAAGTAAAAGAACACATCACATCTTCTTGGTCCCAAATTTGGAACCAATAAATACCCAACCAACTCCCATTATATTTAACCGAAACTTATGCCCAGGAAACCCGTGTCTCTCCTACGATGAGAGAATGTTGTTTACACAAGATTAAGAATAGGACACACACACGCCACGCACAAATATTTACTCAAAGGAGAGGAAGCTCCTTTTTGCATGGCGTGCAACACTTATTTTACAGTTCGGCACATTCTTACGGAATGTGTCGACTTGGACGATATATGCATTCAGATGTAAAGATATCAAAACTCTTCTTGACATCGTGAGTCCGAGAAAAATTTTGAGTTTTATAAGAGAAATAGGATTGTTTCATAGGGTATAAAAATGTATAGTTGTGGTTGTCGGTGAATATACTTACACGGAAATTAATATTGTAAATGCCCATGTAAATAAGAAGTCTTTACCGAAAGATTTTTATAAATGTCTGTCCGTCCTTTTAACATGATGATGATATGACCTTGTGCAGTTGCGAGCGCCGTGGGGCTCTTACTAAGATAAGTGGTCATTTGCACTGGTGATTGCCTTGGACAGGTTATTCTAAAGAATATGTTTAGTCACTCTTATTATTCTGGTTTGAGTGTCAAATTTAAAAAGAATCTATGAAAAAAATGATCTAGGTAGAGATCTGGCCTGGTATTTTTTTCAAGTTCTGCGTGCTTCGCTGTTGGCTTGCTTTGAGGGGAGAGGTTAGCACAATGTTTTTGGACTAATGACCTGTCTGCTATACTAACGGTGTCAGTCTTTTGCCCTGGGCCTAATATGGGGATGACGAATTGATTGCATTAGTCAAGCTGTAATATGTCATGCTGTATACTACTGAAAAATGAGACTAATTGATATAGTCATGGTTACAAGGATCTATTCTTTTTTTTTATAATAGCTAATAATATGTGTGGTGACGCAGTGGAATCGGGCACTCATCAGTTTTTTAGGTATATGGAATTATTGGTATCTTAAAGGTTGTCCGTGGCCTTGCATTTGATTTTAAAAATATCTGTTTATCTTGAACAGAAGTCGAAATATTTGGCATTGAAGGGGTTGGGGTCACCTGGTTTCAGAACTAAAATTAACGAGAAAATGGCCGCCAAAGTTTGGTGACTTTCATAGCTGAAAAGTCCCGGGAAACTTTAAATTTACATTTTACGTGCCTTCAGTTAACGTTTTTCCTTTAAAATTCACACATGATAATGTTTTTGAATGGATATACAAACAAAAATTCGAAAAGAAAAAGTAAAAACTGGCCGAAAAATGTCTATTTCTTGGATTTCATTATTTTGACCAGCGCCTGATTTCACCACGATCTTACATATATGTATGTAAGGGGTTGTTTTTTTCATCTTTATACCATTTTAGTCATGTATCACAGTGTCTGAGGAGCTATCGTTAAACTTTTCGTCTCATGTGCCGATGATGTGAGTTTGATTCCCACGCTTGGAAAAGGTTGTACAGCGTCTGATTTCTCTGTTTGAAGATATCCTCCACCCCCACCCCCTTTCCCCTTCAACCCATGGTCCATTGTTCCCTGACCCTGATAGATACGGTCAAAGTAGCCCACCTTCTAAAAATGTTTTAAAATTAAATGTTGATAAGGGCATAAGACAGTTACAATGTATGTAATGAATGACCTTGCAAGAGACTTGAAAGCACTGTCGTAGATAGTCAAGTACTCCATGACCGACAATGTTCTGATCACACTGAAAGTTGCTACAGTCTTGGTTTTTATAAACACGGTTGGTTGGAGGGCGCTACTGGCAGGTCTTACTTCTTTACTTTTCCTCTGTTGTTTCTGTCTGTCTGTCTTACCGTTTCCTAGAACTAAATGACCATTAGTGTGTCGATGTGCTTCTCTTTACTCAAACAAACTCACACATGACATGGAAACATTTGTGTTTTTTTCCTGCAGGTCGATCAGAGAAGCTGAAAGTTAGCCCCAAACACACTGTCCTAGGGACCACGACAGTCCCACCTTTCCCCGAAAATGTGGAAAATGCTATGTTTGGTGAGTTTTTTGTTTGACCCGTCTGGTTTTCCTCAAATGGAAAGACCTTAGATTAAAGACACTTAAAGTGGGTGGTTGGCGCATGCTCTGGTTTGATTTGCTCCTTTTCCCCTATCAAACGTTTGTCATCCTTATCTGTCCTCCTTTTTTGTGTTTGTTTCTATTTTGTAATGTCTCTAGTCTTCGGCACTTACATGACCTCATTGTGTTGCAAGTGGCGTAACACTCTGACTAACACTAAACAAGGCGCACCGGCAGTGGAATTTTTGTTGCCGCGGGGGATTCCCCGCCAGGCGCCTTATCACGTCGGGGTCACGGGGGTCAGCTCCCTGTCGCCGCTCTGTCTGGGCTCACTTCAGTTTTGGTACTTTTCAACGTACAATTTTAGGTGTATCCTTGTATTTATGGTAATTCTCATTTAATACACCCAAAGCATGCATTTCTGCTCTTGAGACTCAAAAAAGAATGGATGTTGTAACTTGTCTGGTTATTTCGTTAGACGCGCTGGAGTCAGCAATGGTAAATTGTAATTTTTTTGGACTAGCGTGAATGAAAAAAAATCAATATAAAAAAAAGGCATCGTCAAAATCTGTCGAACTTTTGGAACATGAACGACATAACATTGGTGCAGATACTCAGAAAAGGTGGTATCTGCGCATATAATAGAAAGCTGTAATTTTGCAACTTTATCCATCGGGCACACAATTCGCTATGAAGTAATTCCTCCAAATACAACTTTATATGTCTAATATAATCGTGAATATTCGCATATTTTCTCGAAAGTTTATAAAAGTTACCATGAAGTTTCTCTATGAAAGGTACAAATCGATTTTAGTGCTAGAATACATCTTCAATATAGATCTGATACACGAACAGTATCTGTTACACTCTTGAAATTCCTTACTTTTCTTAAAACGCTAAGTCTAGGTTTTGTAAGTTGACTGAATAATAGGGATAACTTCTGGTAATTGGGTTATAAGAATAATTTCTAGCTTTCCAGGGACACAGAATCAGCACCAGACTTTTCCAGCTTTATTTTTCGTTTCTATGACCATTTGCAGTAACTGACAATGTGACTGATTTCTTTACATTCATAATTGTGTCCGCGTATATTTCCGACACAAAAACTAAGAATGAATGTGTTAGCTGTCATTATTTTTATTCCATACAAGAAGTTTATTTACCCATGTATTTACACGATTTTGTGGGTTTTTTAACCGCTTAGATTCTATATTATATCTTTTTAGTTGTATGCAGGCTGCCACAGACACAGCATGATTCATGAACAAACGCAGAGTAACTTTCTCTTGTTTAATAGTAAAATAGGAGCTAACGCTGATCGTCTTTAGTTAAAAAATGCAGATGTGCATCTTTCTTCTCTTATAACTTGACTATTTCTACTCGCGTAGATTTAAGATTTCTTATGGTAAAACACATGATATTCGTAGTCAGTTTCACACAGATTTTGGAGAGATTTGTCTTGCCTTTTTTAAATTAACAATCATTTATTCATCAGTTTGTAACTAAAATAGGACAAATTGGGTACTCTACGAACACTTTTCTAGAACAAAAACTAAGGCACAGAAATTAACCATTCTAACGCAGAATAAATCTCAAGACATTGAGCTTTTAGTACATCCGCGTAATGGTTTGCTATGCGGGATGGGGAAGAAGTTATATCGTTTTAAACATAGTCAAAAATGCAAACTTCCTAACCGACACCGGCAAAGTCACTTCAGGGCTCATTAACCCTGTGACCCCAAGCCGGGGAGCTCCGGCGGGCTGCTGAGTCACGCTAGCTAAAAGTAACAGAATCGGGCGAAAAGTGACTCCGTGTAAAAGACACTTAAAAACTGGCCGAAGTTATAGTTAAAATGATAGACTTCAACATTCAGTAAAATTTTGTTATATGGCCAACAGTTGGATGAATACATGGTAGGCCTATGTAGTTGGTAGTAACGGGGGACTGGCAGTATAACAGGTTTCTAATGCTGTCCTCGGTTAAATAACCCTGACTGCCCATTCTTGTCTCTTTTTCTCTCTTTCACACTCTCTCTCTCTCTCTCTTTCTCTCTCTCTCTCTGTGGTTGTATGTGTATATGCATACTATATCATATATATATAACATTACATGTTACATATAATATTAATTAGCAACTGGTGATAAAGATCAAGTTTGCATGCTGCAGGATGCATTTTTCATTGTTCACAATAATAAACAGAGTTTTTTTGCAATCATTTGCCTTCAGGACTGGGCTGCTTTTGGGGTGCGGAGAGAAAGTTCTGGAATCAGAAGGGAGTCTTTTCCACTCAGGTAGGTGGTTGAGTGAATGGTTGAAAGGAAAGAAATGCAAGGGGAACAAAAGGGGAAAAAAATGAGTGTTCTGCAGGAAGGATGTGTTCCAGCACTAAATAATGACGTTTTTGTGTGGATACAACAACAACAACAAGCTCTCAAATTAAAACAAACGCTACTCAAAGAACAGCATCCTGGATAAACAAAAGCAACAGTAACAGTACCCAAGATTAATAAAAACAATATATACAAGAAGAACAGCAGCAACCTAACCTTGTATTGATAAAAACAGCAACGAAAACAACTGAGTCTTTGAATCTGCTATACCATTTCAGCATATATGGTATGCCAGTGACTTGTCCTCTGCGGTCTTCACTGCTTTTGATTTCCGGTAGAATTCTAGTGTCGACTTGTGGGCGAGCAAAAAATACTTTGTGGTCTAGATTAAATAAAGCCACTGAAACACCAGCAGAAACATAACACTGGATTAACAAAGACAACAACAACAAAAGCAACTGCAACGACACCAAGAGACTCCTTGAACCTATGTATACAGCAACAACTATGTCTCTTCTTTAGTTACAAGCCGCTAGAGGGATCATGTGCTCTGATCCTTCCAACTCATTTCTGTTTCACTCTTGCTTTTGATGCATCTGTTACAGACATCACACCGGTTATGAAGAATGAAAAGCTTTTAATAAGACCTGCCCAAAAAAGCTATACTATGGGAAACGTGTTAGATTTAAGGTTAAAAAATAAAATTTGTTGTAGCTCGTTAGTTTCAGTAAAGTTGTTATGTTGACTCGTCTGAATCTAGCACTCTTTGTCTTGTTTTAGGTTGGCTATTCAGGTGGATTCACTACCAACCCCACATACAAAGAGGTATGCACTGGTCAGACAGGTCATAACGAGGTCGTCCGTGTCCAGTTTGACCCCAAGAAAATTTCCTACGTAGATTTATTGCAGGTAAGTTGACGTCTCTGAATGTATGTGATAAATTAAAGTGTGCAAAATTGTGATGTTCTGATTTCATGTCGTGTATTATGCTGGTCTTTTTCTTAAAATTTTCTTTCATAATTGAAATTTTTTGTTTTGTTTTTAAGTAGACGTTTTTATACCCACATCGATAATTTAGATCAATCTGGAGGCAGGCTTCCGATCTTGACTTTCAGGGCCAAACCAGGCTGAGAGGGATTCAATATCCCAGCTGAAAGACCAAGAAACTCGATAAAATTTCTCCCCCCTCAGGAATCGAACTCTGATCTCCTTTAGGCAACAGTGGGGTGCCTACCGGCACACCACAGACGCCAGTTTTAAATTGAAGAATTTATCCTTTACATTAGCAATTTAAACCGAAGTCTTACTCGTACCCTCCTTCATCCTCCCCCCCCCACCTTCCCATCCAAGTAGTTGTGAATCAGGATCATCATCTATGTACTGTTTCTTTGTGACGTTTTTAATAAACTTGCCATTTCTTTTTTCGAAAGATACCTTATGAAATGTTAAATTATTCATACTTAGAAATAAATTTTGTTTCATTTCATGTTAGTTTACAACTTTCAGAGTGATTAGCGACATCATGCTTTGTTAAAATCAATGCCGATTGATATCCCCCCCCCAAGGTATTCTGGGAAAACCACAACCCGACGCAGGGCTATCGTCAAGGCAACGACGTGGGCACCCAGTACCGCTCGGCCATCTACACATACGGAGCTGACCAGCAGAGCCAGGCGGAGGAGTCCAAGGGCAACTTCCAGCAGGCGCTGACGAAGGAAGGCTTCGGAGCCATCACCACGGAGATACAACCTGCGGGAGAGTTCTACTACGCCGAAGATTATCACCAGCAGTACCTTGACAAAAACAAGGACGGCTACTGCGGTCTGGGAGGTATCGGAGTCGCTTGCCCGAGAGGACTGGTCAAGGCCAAGCAAGATCTATGATTGTGCAACTTGTATATATGTATCGACTGCTCAGTGCATGCTCATTTATGTACAGAAAGAGGCTATGCAAATACTCAGTCAGATGGAATGGGCAGGATGCTCTTGTTATGGATGTAATATGTATTTTTTTTAAATTTGGAAATTGCTTCTTGTAACACTTCAACATGGTCCCGGGAAATAATGAGTGTATAACATCATTTGCTGCCAGGGCTATATGGCACCAAGGTAGGTTTCTCCAAAAGGAGTTGTGAGTTCCTCCCCACTTTGATATCATGTTGCTGATGGCTCTTGCCGAGGTCATGTTTAGGGGCTAATTTATTCATGCACTAAAAATTTTATGCATAAAGTTCTCTTTTTTGTAGAGTGAATTACATTACTACTTTCATGTTGACATGATCAAGTTTCAAAACTTGGTTAATTTCATTGGATCAGTAAAACCAAAGAGTGTTCTTATCCTAAGTTTCTTCTAGATGATTTTTAGACTGAATGATAAGAGATCACCTTCTGAATAAGAGTTTCTCAGATTTTGATACCGGTGTCTGGGGTGTAGTGGTTAGGGACTTTGCTGTCATATGAAGGAGACCTGGGTTTAATTCCCAAGTGAGGAGAACTTTTTTTTATGTCAATAATATCTCGATCTTTCTGACCGTAGATAGGATATTGTAATGTATCGCTTTCAGCCCGGGTTGGCCCTGACAGGCGGGGTCAAAAGCCTGCCTCTGAAATGATCTAAATTTTGTTGATAGGGGCGTAAAAGTGAAAGCACCTACTTTTTAAAAAAAATTAATTTGACTGCAGTTAAAGTGAAGTGGACAACTGTCAGTCACCCTCCCAATATTGCCAAATTTAAAAAAATTATTTTTTAAAATCCAAAAGCGGGAGCCATTACGGCCATGTATTATTCTTGAGTCGGTTCCAATTTAGCAAAAATTGGAGTCACCATTGACTTGTGGACCAGAGCATAGTCTACCCTGCTGATGATGGTTGGCGCTCCTGCCATGGTGATAGAAAGAATGTAGATTTTATTTATTCTGCAGATAGTCCGGGGTTTTTTTTCTTTCTTTGTTATGTTCCATGCTCTAAATGTTCATCTGTGGTGTATGTGTAAAGGTTATTTAATTAAGATCTTCAATGTTGCACATTGAAGACAGGAGCTCAAGCCTTTGTGTGTATGCAAAAGTCTGTTCTTATGAGTTGACTATCTCCATCTCTCTGCTGGGATAGCGCTATAGAGCATTCAGATGCTTTCGAGAAAATGTGAAAAAACGTTTTTATTAGTAAGTCTAATTGAATTCAGGTTTCAGCCTCTAGATTTTTACAATTTATATTAAAGTTGTCATTAATTATTGATACAAAGTAAAATGTGAGAGCTGATTTTCAAGACTGTGCTTAGGTCAAAAGCCTTGAGTACTTTGAGATCAAAGTTTTCAAATTTTGTTCCATAAAGGGATAGTGAACTGCAGTGACAATATTGTGTCCCACTGATAAGCAGGGTCAGAGCAATTACAGTCAATCTCCTTCTCTTTAAACTTAAACCTACATGTTTCTGGCCATTCAGCTTGTGTATCATTTGTCACAATTGAAAAAACAAATGAAGAAGTCTTGGTTGAAGCAAATTGCAGACGACAGCTTATTACGAATAACGAAAGCGACAGGCCAATTTCATTGGACTCGCAATGCGGAAAGAACCTTTGGAGAATATTGTAACAACAGGCAAGTTTGATGGAAAGAGAGGTAGAGGCAGACGGAGGGAAAAGATACTGGACAAACTGACAGCATGGCTGGGAGCAGCAAGAACAACAGACACCATTGCTGCAACACAAGACAGATGGAAGTGGAGGTCCATGATTGCCCACGCCAGTCGGCAAGGCACCGGATGATGATGATGATTTGTTGCACAAGTATCGAGGCGTCTCTTCTTTAGAATGATATTGACTGTGGCTGTTACAACTAGATCTTGTGTTAGTACAGATGACCGGTATGGAGAGAAAGGTGACCACTGAAGCAGGTTCGACTGTATTGCTGTATCACGTGATGGATCCAATGTTTTCTGTTGCTTCAAGTTAAAGATAATCAGAAGCAAACAATTCTCTAAGTGTAAAGCCATCTTGACGACATTACAATGGATATTGTTGTAACTGAGTTCATGTACAAATATTTGGTTTTTCTTGTGGTGGAGGGGTTGCTGTCTTGTAAATATGTTTAGAGGATTTAGTTCTTTTAGAGCTTGCTTAGCGTTCAGCTTTTTACCAAATTTACACCAGATTTTTTCACTATTGGTCAGCAAGTGAAGAATATTTTCTCAAGTTTTTATATTTCTTTTGTTTTGAAATAAAATTTCAATGTTTTATTTGGCATCATGTACTGAAGAATCCGTTTGTGATAATAACTGGTATAATAAGAATACAAAACAACCAAAACGACTCTCGATTCCTGTGTTGATGTTTTTTCAGTCATGCCTTTAAATAATGTACTGGAATAGCAAATTCTTTTTTTGAAATTTTGGTTATGTGGAAAGAATAGTTATTAGTACAGTTGACCTCAGGACCAATTGAGTTGATGTGTTCAGGGGAGTGAAAGATAGATCAGTTCATCTGAAGTTCAACTTAACCATTGGGAATTTTTTTTTTTTTTTAAAGAAGGGGTGCTGGGACCCAAGAAAAGATCAATTTAACTCTTTGCATTCACACAGCCAGCAGTACAAAATACCTCGTCTGGTTACTCAGCCTGGTGAGTGACTGTGACGGACTTCTTGGGCCTGTCGCAGAACTGGGTCAAGTGACCAGAACGGATAATTTTCACTGTCACATTATTATTGCGGCAAGTTACCTCAAAGTGTTAACGAAAGATCAACTCAAGCGAGTTCAACACAAGCGGAGTCGACTGTTGTAACCCACAGCAGCAAGAAGAGTAGATGAAGAGCATGTTTTGGTCCAAACATCAAACCGTACTACGACTAGACCAGTCATTTTGTTGTTTGGTTGGTTGATGCAAGCGACTACTATTGAGTTACCAGCATCACATCTCCTCTCTTTTCTTCTTCCCCAATCACTACCTTAGAATAACAAAGTTCTGTCTGACATTTTGGCTGTTTTCAGTTACTAAGACCGTGCGGTCGGAAATCAAATGTTCTATCATCTGCTCTATCAAAATCGTAAGATTATTTTGAGTTGTGATCAAGATATTCTAAGAATTGCGTTCGAAAAAGCTTAAGATACTACCATGCGACTCAAAATTTTTTATGTCAATTTTCTCAAAACTAGGTACTGAACAAATAAAACTTTGTAATTCCGAGGTAGCATGGTGTAATAATAATGACGTACAATCGCCTCTTTCCACATCAGTACTGTTGATCATATCATGTCTTAATTGACCCACATTGTAATTGTAATGAGGAGAACTTACTTGTACTTTGTACAGTAGCCTATCGAGTTACAGGGTTCACAGTCATCAAGATTTTGTAGGCCAAGCAATTTTCAGTGAGTATTTTTTTTAAAGTAGAGCAAAGAAGTTCACTCTTGATTCTTAAGTCGTATGTTATTGGCTGAACTTTAGATCAAGAAAATTATACTGACCAATCAGCCTTAAGACGTACAAGCTTGAAGATGACATCAATAACCATATATGCTAAAAATTGACGAGCGCCTGATTCCACCGCGTTGAGACACATATTATATATGCTAAATAAGAGAAATAAAAAGATAGAAAGTAACTTATCTGTGTATGAAAGGACTGTAATAACACGGTAAATAATAGGAATCATGAAAAGGCAAGCAACTCATCTGTGTTTGAAACAAACACGATAACATGACAAGTAAGAGGAATATAAGGAAAGTCACCAGAGATTGGAAGAAAAAAAAGGATTATTTACAGGGATGAAAATAAGGCACAAGAATCAGTATTCAGTCAAATGCATTTATTTTATTCAAACAAACAACCACCACAATAAGAAAAACAATTAAACAAAACATAGATTTTTTTTCCTTATGATTATCTGGCCAACCCATCCTCATCTTCATCTTCTTCCCCGAGAGTAAACAACATCCCCCCATTATCCGGGGGTCTCACAGACTCCTCCCCGGACGGCCTACTGTCATTAGGCTCCGCCCCTCCTTTCGACTCCGGCACTGACATCTTCTCCCCAAACAGTAACGACGAAGTGCTGCTCAGCTCGTCTGTCTCATCAACTTCCATTTTGATGTCCAGTTCTTGACTCACCCTTGTGTGGCTGATGCGCCGGCTGGCTAACCCTGATGGGAGGGTAGGGGACTCTGCTACAGCTGGCTCCAGTTTGACGTCCAGGTCTGGCAGTTTGACCTCTAGGGGGCACGGTTCAGGAACCTGCGGGGGGGGGGGGGGGGGGGGGACAAAAAAAGGACACGGTACAGTAAAAGCATTAGAGTGCTTAACAAAGTTCTACGTGGTATTCCCTAATTTAGTCAGTTTTACGACACTTGCAACACAATTAGGTTAAATATAAGTGCCAAAGATTAGAAGTGTTACTGTTACGAGGGAGTAACAAACACTAAAAGGGAGGAGGAGAGATTTAAAGGATGAAAGATGTTTGATGGGAAAAACACACCAGAACACCCACCAACCATGTATATCCCAGGAAACAGTCACAGATGATTGATGAGGGTGTTATTTTGAAGTTGAGAGAGTTTTCCTCAAAAGATACACAACCTACTGCTTTAGACTGGCCAACTCCAAAGACAAAAAGAAAAAAAGGAAAGGAAAAAAAATACATCTCATCCCATTCTTTTATAAATGACTACCATCCTTATACTTATAATGTGACATACATATTATCAACATGACAAAAACCTCTTGTTAAAAGTACATGAGTGTATGGTCTTAACGCCTGTAACAACACTCTGATAAGGCCAAGCTGAATGGGTCGAGAGCTTTGTAAACTCCGCAAAACAACCGAAATTCAGAGATTCAAACCAGAGCCATCCACTTGATAGTCCAGCACGGCACCAACTGAACTAAGGGAGCCCCCACCCGTTGCTATGAGAAATGTGAACATTCCAAGACCACCGCAAGCTGAGACTAAAACTAGCCTTATGAATAATCTGAGCAGAGAGTGACAGGAAAAGAATCTCACTTTGAATGTTCCGATTCGCTGATGGAGAGAGCAAAATCCAGTGTTGAAGAGTATGGGCACTGGCCTGCCACATTGGCTGTCTGCAAAGGGACATGGGCGATACAACACTTGACCAGGATCGTGAAGGATATCTTGTGACCAGTCAAGGAGTTTTTTAAATCTGCCGTTTGAATGAAAAACCTAAAACATGCTAATCAGGGTTAAATCAACTTTTTATTAATTAAAAAAATTTAACTCATTGAAATCTTCATCTTTCTGGTATCAATATTTCACTATTCAACAAAAATTTATGAACATTACTGACACAGCATAATTAGAACAAAATATATCACAAAGAGTTGGGGGCGGGGGGGGGGGCGGGGGTTCTAACTTGCAAAAATTATGATTTTTTAGGATATAGCTGCCTGCGGATGAGTTGATGCCATCAGAGGAGAGAAAAAAAGATCAAGTCATCGTAAGTTCAAATTAACCTTTGGGATCGTTATAACGAGAGGCAGGGGACCAATGCGAAATGCCCGTTATAGCAGGATTCTCGTTTTAAGGGACCCAGTAACAAATTCAAGGGAAGCAGTAAAGTAGGCCTAATCGATGAGGATGGTGTTCTGTTTATTCCTTTTTGTATTTCCCCTGATGATGATTTGGTTCAACATGATCTCTAGGTCTTACTTGATCAAAAATCGAATCAGGTCTCCTTCTCTAGCACTAGCAGTGTTGACCGCTCGGCGTTGGCGATCAGAAAGAAGGGGCTCTGGCTCTAGCCTGCTAGGTTCACTCACCCGCTGTGTTGTCCCCCACCCCACCACACCGTGTGGTGCGTTGCATCTGCTTGTGCACGTCACACATTCACTCCATCTTTCACAGCATTGTTACCTCTCCATCCCGCACCAGAGAAATGAGAGGCATGGTAGGCCTAGATAATCTAGACTGGGCTGGCCTATCACACGATGCGTTCTGCTTGTCTGCGCATGCCACACCCTCCCCTCTCATTCGCTTCGGCCTTCATTATTGGTTCGCGTGGGCTCTCCCATTCTTTGTTTCGCTGGATCATCAACAACTTTCTCAACTGGCGAGGTTTTAATATGTTTAATTGGTCTGTGGGCTGTGCACAGCAGCAGCAATAATCCGTTATAACCGACTCGCGTGACTGTCTGATAGCGCAATAGCAGTATTTCATTTACAAAGATAAAGAAGGGGAAAAAACGGGGTTTTAGAACAGTGTCTTTATAACAGACTTCTCGTTATTTCGGAACTCGTTATAAGTGGATTCCACTGTAGTTAGCTTGATTTTTTCTAAATTATACTTTTCTGGAAACAAAACATTGAAAGTAGTAAAAAAAACATCAACCTTAAAGCCATATTTTTTTCTTTTAACTCATTCGCTACATATTATTTTCAGCTTGTGGACAATTATTTTTTTCGGAAGGGTGAAATGAGATGGTGACTAGTGCTCAGTTCACAGGTCTTTGGGGCCACAAATTCAAATAAATATCAACATATTATATACCAAAATTTTCAGTATGGTTTGTCAAATACATCTGTAATGTTTATTTGTGTATTTTTCAACTTTGGTTCTTATAAGAGGCGATTATGCAACACAATTTTGATTGGATGCGGATAAAATTCGAATATAAAAAATTAATAATCTTTGGTGAAACTCAAAAAATATGTTTGCACCTAGTCAAATGATACATCAAAATAACCATAAATGAATATAGAGCTGGAAAATAGTGAAAAATGTGCAGTTATTTACATATATTCCTAAATATTTGTACATTTGAATCATAACATCCGATATTGAAAAAGCAAAAAAATTTAATGATCTTGAAAAAAGGACCACAAACAGAAAAAAACACTTGTATCTTATAAATGGAATTATTCAGAATTGCATTTGGAATAAACCTATACATGTCTCAAGTAGCACTTTTTGTGTAATTTCACCAAAAATGAGTGATTTTGGGGAGAAAAAAAATATTTTGACAATTTAGATCTAGACCTAGATCTAGCACTCAAAAATATTGATTTCTCAATAAAAACGGAATTGGCAATTTGAGTCCAACAGTATAAATATTATAAAGAAGAGTCCTGCATTTCTTTAGTGAGCAAAATAATGATACATTTTGTTGTGTAAAATTACTAAGACTGGTGTCTGGGCTATAATTTTGGCATCGCGATAAAACAAAGCTGCATAAACTACGAAATCGCATTTCAAAACTGAATCTAAACTTCCGATTTTCGGTGGAAACGCTTGACCCGGAAGTCAATGTTACATTATAACCTTTATTTCAACACGGATACGTGGATTGGAATAAAATCTATGCTAGAATTATAGGTCGGTGCTCGAGCCGTCGGTGGCGGCTTGGCGTACGGAAGACATTTTCGTCGTGCCGCTACCCACGGCCCCGGCGTAGCGAATGAGTTAAAAGTTTTCCTATTTCGAGGTAAGAACCTGGTATAATTTTTAAGCCAATTTTTAATCCTACTATTACTATTAATAAAGTACAAATTATTAATTATTTAGAAGGCAGGCTGCTTCAACCCAGACTACCACAACCAGCCTGGGCTGTTCAAGATCTCCTATAGCAGACAGACAAAGACACGCACAATAACACACCTTCCTCACATAGAGAAAGAATGTATTCCCTTTGCTTGTAAGGCACCAAGTCCAACCAATGTACTATTATAGACACTGATGACAACATAAAACACACATTTCTCAATGTCATGGCATTAACAAATTGCAATACTTCAGTTTCCAAAAAGGATACGCTTCTGGCAAAACTTGCTGAGAGGAATAACTCTGGCACAGCAGCGAACACCATCATCCACAAAGACGCACTTTGGGAAACTTATGGGTTGGTAGTTCAGACCTTCCGTAGCCTTCATACGACGCTCAGTCGACTGTTTCTGAAGCAGTGCATCCTGGTAAAGGGAAAAAAAAAGTATTTGGTAGAAGAAAGCTTCCCTGAAAATCAGTGCTAGCAGAAGGAACGTACACACCCTGGCAACAAATGGTATAATAGCTGTCATTTTCATACGTGAATCAGATTTTTACACTTTGATTATCAGAGTTCGAACTAGATTGAAGTTTAGGCTACTCCAGAAAACAAAACCTAGTCAAGGCATCATTTTGATCTATATTCATAGATCTGTCTGTTCTAGATAATTAGGTGGTAGTAGATCTTAATCTAGCTAGCTTCTTTAAGCAATGGCCTTTTTAAAATCTGTTTACAACCTATCAGTGGCTTCCTTAGTGCTATGTCATGCCACATATATTTGTTACAGAATATCTTTATAAATCATATTGCAATGAAATAAGTGCCAGACGTTTGCTATGAAACATCATACCCACTCTACTAGATTCATGCTACTCTGGAACAAATGTGATATTAAGTTTAGCCATTTGTTGATGAATTTCAGTGCTCACATCTGGCTTCAGAGTTAAAACTTTGCACGGAACTTAATTCATTTCTGAGAACAAATAATACAGGTTCCATTTGTGAGTTATTGGAAACAAGCAAATGAGGAGATTGTAAAAAATGTCATCAAATAAAATATGGATCATTAGGTTCCATTTGTGTGGCATGAAAAACTAGCAAATAAAGAGATTACTGAAAATGTCACCAAATAAAGTATAGATCATTAGGTTCAACTTGAGAGTCTTGTGAAACTAGCAAATAAAGAGAAAAAAAAAAAAAAAAGAAATATAGATAATCACCCCAATTTCCCAGCCAACAGACTGCTGTATTACCTCCACATCATCATCATCAGTCCAACAGAGGAGATAAAGAAAAATACAAACCTTTCCAAATTTCTTGTGATAGCGTTTCATGGCACAAAGCTTGTCATACTTGAGCCTTTGCAATGGGTCCTTCTTGTAAAGCTTAAGGCTTCCTAAAAAAAGGGGGAGAAGAAAAAGAAAGGTTTAAAAAAAAATGCTATATCATAATGGCAGAAGCACCCAGAAAGGAATTCAAGGGAAGCAGTAAAGTAGGCCTAATCGATGAGGATGGTGTTCTGTTTATTCCTTTTTGTATTTCCCCTGATGATGATTTGGTTCAACATGATCTCTAGGTCTTACTTGATCAAAAATCGAATCAGGTCTCCTTCTCTAGCACTAGCAGTGTTGACCGCTCGGCGTTGGCGATCAGAAAGAAGGGGCTCTGGCTCTAGCCTGCTAGGTTCACTCACCCGCTGTGTTGTCCCCCACCCCACCACACCGTGTGGTGCGTTGCATCTGCTTGTGCACGTCACACATTCACTCCATCTTTCACAGCATTGTTACCTCTCCATCCCGCACCAGAGAAATGAGAGGCATGGTAGGCCTAGATAATCTAGACTGGGCTGGCCTATCACACGATGCGTTCTGCTTGTCTGCGCATGCCACACCCTCCCCTCTCATTCGCTTCGGCCTTCATTATTGGTTCGCGTGGGCTCTCCCATTCTTTGTTTCGCTGGATCATCAACAACTTTCTCAACTGGCGAGGTTTTAATATGTTTAATTGGTCT